ACAGCTCAGAGCCTGGAGCCTGCTTTGGATCCTGTGTCTCCCTGAGCTTCCCCTGCTTCCGTGCTCTCTCCCTCAAAAATAAATAAATATTAAAAAAAAAAAAAAAAGAAAAGAAACAAATACTGTTCAAACATTTTTGAACCTCAAGAAGGGAATGTATGTTATTTTTAAAAGCCCCTAAAAAGACAAGATGGAATCGTAGCACGTGATTGAGCAAACTCTGTCCGGACGACCTGTGAGCCTCAAACAAGAAGAGCTATTTCTGAGAAGGTCTGGGGACAGAAGTCGTCACTACCCAAGGCCTGCACTGGCCGCCATCTGTGACTTACAACGACACTGCGAACGCGCACACATGTAACCCCGTAGCTGGGAGGGGGCGGTACCTGGCATCAGGGCGGCCGTGGAGAACACCTCTTTCAACTTCGCCTGGCTTTCCTCCAGCAGCTCCTCTTTGGTCATCGGGAGCTGCAGGACGTCTATTATGATCTGTGCCGCCTCTGATGCCTTCTTCCCCATAACAAGGGACTTGACGTCCCAACTGTACTTCTTTCCGTAGCGATCACATATTTCTTGGAACACCACCGAATACAGCCGTTCGGTATCTGCAGGAACAAAGACACGGCAATGCTTAGGGTGCGTGCTGCGTGAACACGGACTCTATCAGATAAGCATGTGGGGTGCAGCGTAGGCCAGCAATGTGGAGTGATACGGAAGTGCTGAACACCGCACAGGTCATGCCGCGGGAGCAACGGCCTGGCTGCCTGCTGTCTGTTTGCTGGAGCGTCTTTGCAGCCGTGATCTGGAAAGTGACAACACGGGAACGGAAGTAAGCCCTCGTTGTGGTTAAATGGTCTCCGACATAAACGTGTGTGTATTTGAGCCGAAATGTGCACATGGGGTGGTGACATCTGTGCGCTATCACGTGACACCGTCCCTGGGACTGAAGCTGCCTCTAGAGGGAAGAACATGAGGGTTGTGTGAACGGCCCTCTGCAGGGGGGGGGGCACGTCCACTGTCCCTGGGTCTGTCCTCACTGCAGGGGCGCCTGGCCATGGGGGCCACTGAGAAGCTCCCGCATGAGAACGGAATAGCCTGTACAGGCCCATGTTTCCCCTCCGTTCTCACACTGCACGTCTCAGCGCTTCTGACGCCTGCTGTGTGCGTGGGTGTGGAGGGGGTCTTTCCCACAGCACACAAGTCCGTGACACGAGCCGGGATCCCACAGTTCAACTCAATTCGGACAGCGTATACAGAGGCAGGTCCCAAAGTGCAAGGACACAGCAGCTCACACCAGTCAGACTGGCTGTCACCAAAAATGTTAACAAGTGTTGGTGAAGATGTGGAGAAAACAGAACCCTCGTGCACCGTTGGTGGGAATGCAAACTGGTGCAGCCACTGTGGAAAACAGTATGGAGGTTCTTAAAAAAGAACAGGATGTCTACACAGTCCAGCAATCCTACTTGTGAGTATTAATCTGAAAAAATAAAAACGCTAGTTCAAAACAACATCTGTACCCCTATGTTCACTGCACCATTATTTACAACAGCCAAGATACAGAAGCAGCCTAAGTGCCCATCTGTACCTGAATGGGTAGAGATGTGGCATACATAACAAAATACTTCCTGGCCATCAAAAAGGAGGAGGAGGAGGAGGAGGAGGAGAAAGAGAAGAAAAAGGAGAAGAAAACCAAGAAGAGGGGTGCCTGGGTGGCTCAGTCGGTGAAGCGGCCGACTTCAGCTCAGATCATGATCTCACTGTTCGTGGGTTCAAGCCCCGTGTCGGGCTCT